CCAGCCGAGGCATCCTGGCCGCCGCAGCCAAGGAGAAGAAGGGCAAGAAGGGGAAGGACGACAAGGGCAAGAACAATGTCGCAGAAGCGGAGCAGCAGCAGCAGCTCAAGGAGGAGGACGCCAACGTCTCAACTACGCCGAGGCCTCAGTCTGACTGCGCCACCGCCGCCCAGAGCGAGGAGCAAGCGCAGGCCAGCGCTAGCGGCCTGACCTCCGATGGGCCCGAGGAGGAGGACACGCTGGCTCTGAGCGAGGAGATGGTGAGTGCGCTACTGGCGGCCCCGGGAAGCCCAAAGCTGGAGGTGGGCCCGGATGGCTCGTGCATGGACAGTGACAGTGGCCCGTCCGGGGACAGTGGCTGTGGGTCCGGTGGGCCTTCTGGCGACGTGGCCCATGAGCTGGACCTGGGCCTGGACGACAAGGCCATCATGGACTGGGACTTGATGGGGCTGGACATCTCGGCCGCCGACGACATGTGGGACCCGCTGTTGTGGGACTACGACGACGAAACGTTGGTCCCGGAACCGGCAGGAGGAGGGGAGGGGCACCAGCAGCAGGACGAGGTGATGTCAGACCTCTTCTTCCTGGACAATCTCTAGGAAGGAGGACCGATCGAGGAGGCGACTCTGTGCATCTTTAGCATGGGCATGGCTGCTGTGATGTGCTTAAGCTTTTCGATTTGATCCAGTACTAGTAGTAGGTTTTGGGTGTGTTCAGTTCAGAGGTGAGTGAGGTCTGAGTTAAGGGGAGTGCTGCAGTGACATTTTTGTCTGCTGGCCTGGTCTCATGAACCCGTAAAATGGAAAGAATGTAGAAAAATAAGCGGTAGAATGGCACCTTATGTTGCACATTCGCAAGGATGGCCTGAGGTGAACATGACCTAATCCGCACGCAATATTAGTTGGGATTTTGGAGACCTTTCAGCATTAGAGCCTGTATAACATCTGCAAACGGAGAAAGACAAAAAATAAATAAAATTGGCTGCTGGGATTGGCATTGTCAGCTAACCCCTGAGTACATCATCTTTCTTTTTTTTAGAAACACAAGAGCTTTATTAATTCACGTCATGATTACAGTTTTACAATCGCAGAGAGCTTAACTCCCTGAGCCAGTCTGGGAATGTTTCCTATCGGAATTTGATAGTACAAGTTGCCATCACCGCATAGCTACGTGCAACAGCATTGGCTTCACGCTGAACAAAACAACTTTAATAAACGATAAAAAAGTTCTTCCCAGCTCCAACTCCTACAATCTTCTGTGCAAAGAATCCAGTACTTCGAACACAATATACAGCCTAACTACTATAATCAGTGCAGTTACGGTAGCAGAGTTTGACGCAGCTCGTTCTGTTCGATGTTTTTAGTGGCTGGGTGCTCCAGTGAAGTTCTATCTGTCAGTATGGTCGAGTGCATGTTGAGAAGCGAAGATTTTTTTTTTTCACGAACACGACTATACACCGTTTTTTCATTAAGAGGAAACTTAAGAAGGGAACAAACTGTAAACAAAAGAAATTAAGTGGTGGAATTACTCATTCTCGATCACAGTTTACAAACTAGGGTGGAGCCATTATCATTGTTGAATTTGGGAGAACTGTGGTATTCTGATTACAACCAACCAACAACATGACAGGGAAATGCCAATGAAATCCTGCAGTGAAAGAAGAGAGACAATTTCACTTGATTTTGGACCTTTCAAAGGAACGCCTAGCAGCGGTGAAGCTAGAGCAAACAGTTTTCAGCTAGTTCTGGGGATTAAGAGCGTGTTCGGCTGGCATTAATTTTACACTGCAGCAGCTGGAAAACACTGTAGCAGCTGCTTTTTTTTTAAGAGAAAAACACTGCTCCGGCTGGAAAAAAAAAAAAAGCTGGCCAGCCAGCCGATTGTGGCCAGCCGAACATGGAATAATATCACCAGGCTCTGACTGTTTGGCTGGATTTCTCAAACTGGCACATACTTCCTCTGACTGTTTGGCTGGATTTCTCAAACTAGCACATACTTCAGAACGCAATGCTCCACAGCCTAATGTTCTAATCTCCTGGTTCCTACTAATGTTCATCTTTGTGCATACTTTAGAATCAACAAGCTTGGCATGGACTACCCATTATCATTCGTGAATCGTGAAACAGGGTGAACACAGGTTACAACTGACAAATATGATCCATGATCAGTGGTGGAGGCAGAAATAATTTTTAGGTGTGGCGCGGTTTATAAAGATCAAACATGTATAATGTAACTATGCAAAGGCTCATGAGAACTTATTTAAATATATATGAAATATAGTTGAAATCCAAAAGTAGAGCATTGGCATTTAACATACCTCACTAAATGAAGATTACCTAGCAGGCCAGCATGTATCATATATATAATACTACGTATATTTGATATTTTCTACAGATTCTAGGTATGGCAGCTGAAGGGCTTGCCAAATAGCTGGCTCCGCTCATGTCCATGATGAACACAGGAATGTATGTGTTTTGTCTTGGGAAGTATTTCTGGAATTTATCAAACAGTGGAAAATTTAATAAAACTCAAACTTCTCAGGCCTACATTAATGTTTGTTTATCGAAACTAACAGTGCAATGGATATTCATCCGTCAAATGCTTCGTACTAAACTTTCCTAATCAGTCTAGCCAGTTCATCTCACACAATCAAATCATCATAGAATCCAGAACATAATGTGTGCACATAATTCAGAATTATAAGGATGGAATGAACTATCATTATCATTCGTGATTCATGAAACAGGGAGGACTCGAGCATTCGTTATAACTGACAATGCCATTCATGATTAACACAGGAACATATGTGTTGGAAAATACTTCTAAAGTGTTTTACTAATCGGTAGTCGTCAGTTCATCTCCCACAATAAAATTTAGCACAGAATTCAGACCCTAGATGCTTTTGCCCATCTTTCAGAATGAACATGCTTGTCATGGACTACCCATTATTATTTATGGAGCAGGGAGAACTGTAACATTCTTCGGATTATAATTGACAACACATGAACATATATGTATTAGAAAATACATCTGAAATTGTTGAGGTAAATGCTATTTCACTTCAGAGTTCTCAGCACATCAGCCTACATAAATGTTTGCAATCGAAACAACAAAGCAACACACGGCAGGGGTCAACATTGCCACCTAGGCCATATTCATTCGCTGAACTTTTCATACAAGATTTCTAAAGGCCAAAGCAGTCTCATCAGCTCATCACACAATCTAATTTGCACAGAATTCAGCACGGAAATATTTCTGACACCTTAATCAGCTCAAAGAACAACACAATGTAGTCTGCTACTATGCTGGATGAATGTTGCAGCAACAGTTTAAACTACAACACTCTACACGCCATCTAGTTCAGTTCAGTAGTCATTATTCAGTAATCAGTGCGGTTTCGATCACTTAGCTTACCAGAGTTTGCTGGTTGGGAGTCTTCTTGGATCTTTTCCCTTTCCTCCTCTTCCCTCCTCCCTTTCTCTTCTGGGCAATAGCAGATTCATCAGCCTCGGTTGTGGTTACCTTCGTCGCCGGCACCATGCTACATCTGTTCTCACCGTCTGCAACCGCGGGCATACTCGATTTGATCCCCTGGGCTAGACTTCCACCGGAGTCGCAGCCCTTGTTGCTCGAGGCTCGGATCGACGAGGCGCAGCCCTCTCCAACGTTGAGCTCGCCGAAGACCTTCCTCCTCTGGTCGTCCACAGGCCGGACTCGCCGCGACGGCCCAGTCCCTTCCCCGGCACACTTCCTCTTGCTCCCGCCCCACGCGCTGTGGCTAACCGTCGGCGGCGGCAGCGGCGTCGAGGAGGCAGCGCGCCGCCCCTTCGGGTGCGGCGTCCGTCCCAGGCCCGCCGCGTCCCGGTCCCAAGGCGCGCCGCGCGCTGGCGTCGCCCCGTGCGCCGCGACGGCCCCCTTGCTCGTGGCCGTAGCGGCCGCGTGCTTCTGGCTGCGGCGCGGGCGCGGGCGCGGGGCGGTGCGGAGGTGGAGATCCAGCTCGCGGTCGCGCGCGCGCCAGTCGACGCCCTTCTCGGCCAGCACCACCTCCCGCGGCCGCGCCGCGCCGAACGGGTCCGCCTTGATCTGCTCCCTCTCTGTCTCCCGCCGCCGCTGCTCCACCTCCCGCGGCCGCGCCCCGCCGAACGGGTCCGCCTTGATCTGCTCCCTCTCTGTCTCCCACCGCCGCTGCTCCTCCTCCTGCTGCTGCTCCCGCTCCTCACGCTCGACCTCGTCGGCCCAGGAGAAGCCGAACCGGATCGCGGGCTTGGCGCCGCCGCGGTCGCTGCCCGTGTTCTTCATCGCTTTCCTTTCCTCTCTTTCTCTCTGAACCTGAGCGCGTGGGCTGCAACTGCTGCTTTCAAGTTTCGAAATGGGGTGCGGGTGGTGGGGTGGGGCCTGGCTTGTAACGGTCGGCAACTGCACGGGCGCGCTGCACACGATCTGCATTGCGACTACAAAAGCATTACAGATTGGTCACGCCATTCAAATTTAAAATTTCTTTTGAAGATCTAATTACACATACAACTTATTCTCTGATACTGGCACCACACCAGAGGGTCAGGTTAGTAGACTAGATAATCCAACGGAAATAGGATAACAATAATAATGAAACGCCATCCAAGATCAATCGAGTCAGAATATATACAAAGGGAAAACAACAAGACTGCATTACATTGTTGAGGGAAATCTCTTGAATTGTTGATTGATTCCAAATTCAATGAGGACAAGCAATTGGATTATGAACTTCAAAGACCGAAATGGCATACATTCTCTAGGTGAATGGGAAGCATGCAGTCGGGAAACAAGGATGATAACCGTTGCAATTGCAATCTGCATCGTCTTGGCGCAAAAAAAATTCTTCGAAGTACAACAAGATCACGTTCGGTACAGAGATACGCTCAATCACGCGAATTCTTGATCAACCCATAAATTGGCACCGACAACACGATGAGTGGATATGCCATAACTGTTGCCGTCCAAAGGGCAGCGCCGCCCGGTGGTCAGAAACTCAAGATGCGGGAGCACTTGCGCTTGAACCACCTGAGACCCCGGCGGAGCGACTCCTTCACCTTGCCCTTCACGGCGTACGCCTTGTAGCCCGCCACCCGCCGCCGCCGCTTCATCTCGGGGTCGCCAAAGCAACCCATGCGCACCCCTCGCACTCCGCAGCGCCGTCTTCCCGTGACCTGCGGCGGGGTGGAGGGGGCCGGCGCCGGCAGCGCCATGGCAAGCTGCTGCCACGGGTGCTGTGGCGGGGTGGTTGCAACGATGCGGTAGTGTAGATCTCCCGAGGAAAGGGACCTTGGGGAAGGAGGTGGACGGATCGGGTGCGGTGGATGGCCGAAGAGCGGTGGTGGAGGATGACCAAGGAGAAAAAGGTGGAGGCGAGCACAGAATATGTAGGGAGGAGAAACGTGGGCTCGGACTACGTCGCTTAATTTAAAAAAAAACTATTTTTGGGTCTTTGATTGTAGAAAAAAAAAATCGGGAAATATTTGGCCTAAGCTAAATTGGGGCCATGTTCAAATGAGGCCTAAAAGACCATGCCAAAAATTGGTAGGACTTGTATTTCTGACATGTGGGGCCCATAGGTGGCTAAGTTTTTAAGCTCTAAATCATGGTCAATATTGGTCTTATTTCTAGATTTAATTGTGATATGATATAGTAATAGTGAAATCAGATCACCAATCACATACCCTGTTTAGAAGATATTTTCTTTACAAATTCAAAACAAAACATATAGAGTATTAGTTGAGGAAAAATCCTTACATGGAATTGGCATAAATCTACTCTTGTCTATCACCTCCAAAACATGATTCTCATATATGTCATTTATGTTATAATCCCTTCTTTACTAAGATAATTACTTGAGTAAGCATATAAACATCTCATTGTCAGTGTTACTCCTACTAACCATACCCAAATCGCAGAGTTGGTTAACATTCGGCGAGTGAGTAATTAAGTAGGTGATCAAGGAATAGGTCATAGGTGTAGGATGCTATTATTTTAGTGGTAGACGATGTTCCAGTCAAGACGTAATATCGAGATCTACTGGTCCAGCCCATCCTTTCGGAGGTGCTCGTTTCGTCAATCTCGAGATCGACGAATCTAGTCCAGCCTTTCAAAAGTGCTCATAGACCTAGACTGTGTGTATCCACATGCATGTATATGATTATGATGTCATCATTTGTAGTGTCGTAAAAAGAAAAAACCTTCAATTTGTTTGGTTAGACCAAATTAAATTTATTTGGTTTGAACCTTAGGGGCTGTTCGCTGGTCTGGACTCGTCCAGCCAGCCGGCTCCTCCTCCTCACATTTTACTGTTTATTAAACCAGCCGAACAGTGTTTTTCTCTCACAACAAACCAACCGAAACAATATTTTTTAGCTAAGTTTCAGACCAACGAACGGGGCCTAAGGATACATTATGAGGTAGTTTGGTTCCCAAGCCAGGCATGCAAGTGTATGATCACAGTTCTGCAGTGACCAAATTAAGACAGGCATATAGATATCCATATGAACCGACATCTTGTGAAGACGTAATACTAAATAAACAATAAATACGAAAGGGCAGGTAGCCTAGCGGTTACAAGAGTCGACCTGTTCGTTTGATTTTGTTTGGCTTATAAGCTATGGCTGAAAGTACTGTTAGCTGATTTGGTGTGAGAGAAAAATATTGTTCGTTGGCTGATAAGCCATGACTTATAAGCCGAATACGACCAAGCGAACAGGCTGAGTCTCAGTAGAGTTCGACTCTCCGTGTAAGCGATTTTTTTTTAGGATTTAAGGGACGTTATGCGATAATAATCACCAACCGCAAGCATATATATAAACCATATATACCTCGTCGGCTCGTCCGCAGATATACCTTTAATTACATCAACGGCTCATGGGCCGGAAGTGTTTTTATTTACAGTCCAAACCATATAGACAGTGTCGGCCGCATGTACCGTCCAAACCATATAGAGAAAATTCCCTCACTGTCACTAAAAAATATAGCACTTCCTTCATTGCGTTGCTAAGCTTGGCCTCTTGCTCTTGCGTTGCTAATTACTACTTCTGCTAGACTGTTGTCCAACGAATTAGGCACTTGATCACAGCACCACCAGTGCGTTGCTACTACAACTTTTTACTCTTTCTCTAGCTTGCTAGAGTTGCTTCAAGTTCTGCTCCCGGCTGTACTGCTAGCTTTTGCGATGCGTCCGTCAAGTATGCCACCTTGCATTGCAGTTCGACGAGTAGATGATGGCATGACGCAGCGTGCCTTGCTCTGCCGCTGCACTCTGTCCGCTCACACGAAGATGAAGCTCCACCGTCCACGTTCATCACCTTCCTCGGCCTCGCCGATGCTCCAGTCCAGCAGGCTCGCGGCAGCAGCAAGTGTTGGTGTACACGTACGGTTCTGAGTCTTTCTGCTCATACTAGCTTGGAAGCCGGCCCTGCTGCTTGCCCCGCGGCGCAACCGCACGCCTGACAGGAGAGAGAGGCCACGAGCTGGGTGCTCACGCTTGGCGCTTCGCTGGTGACATCTGATTATTTGCCATTCTTACGGAGGCCGTCTCTCTGATTGTCAACTTTATGATGTTAACTACAAAAATATCCTAGAAAATAGTAACTCGTCTAATATTTTACCATTTTTGCTGACGTGGCATGCCAGATCAGCCAGCCAGCTTAGGAACGGGCCGTTGACGCTCGAAGACCAAAGGCAAAAGACCATTCTACCCCCGCCGTGTATTGCTTAACAAGCGCCGTCTCCTCCCATCTGTTCAGTCCCAACGGTTCTCTCCGCACTTCTTCTTCTTCCTTCGTCTCCCCGTCCGCATGCGGGGCTTCGACCTCTCCCTCGTGGCGCTCGCCGCAGCCGCGCTCTGCTGGCTCAGCTCCGCGCTGCGCCTGAACGTGAACATGGAGGCGTTCCTGGTGGGGCTGGCGTTCCCCAGCGAGGGCCGGGTGTCCAGGCTACTGGTGAGCAAGACCAACTTCGTGCTCAGCTCCTTCGTGCTGCCGCTCTACGTCGCCCACGTCTGCCTGTCGCTGCGCCAGACCACGGACGACATCGAGGCGGCGGGGCTCACGCGGGACGACGGCTTCCGGGCCTACGTCATGGAGCTTCCGTTCCCGTGGTGGAAGGTCTTCTTCGTCACCGTCATGGGGACCCTCGGGAAGCTCACCGGGTGCGCGGCGGCGGGACTCCTCCGAAGTCTGGGGATTCTGGAGGCGCTGGCGCTGGGGATGCTGCTCAACGTGAAGGGGTACTTCCACCTCTACTGCGCCCAGGCGGCGTTCGACGCCGGCATCATCACGGACAAGTCGTTCATGGCCATCATCTTCATGGTGGCGCTCAACGTGGCGGTGACGCCCATGGTCGGGATGGGCATCGCGTCGTGGGCGCGGCGGAGCGTGCAGTGGCGGCTCATGGGGCTGCAGCACCACGACCCGTCCACGGAGCTGCGCCTCGTGGTGGGGCTGCACGGCCCGCAGGACGTGCCGACGCTGTCCTACATCATGGAGGCGCTGCGGTGGGGCGGCGGCGCGGGAGGAGGCGGCGAGCTCGCCGTGTACGCCGTGGACATGGTGCAGATGACGGACCAGACGGCGGCGGCCATCGTGAAGGGCGGCGGATTCGACGGCGTGACCGTGGTGGACGAGGAGGTGTCGGAGATGCGGAAGCTCATCGGCGAGGCGCTGGACGCGTACCAGGTGGAGTGCGGCGACGGCGCCAAGGTGAAGGTGCGGCGGCTGCTGGCTCTGTCGTCGTTCCCGGACATGCACAGCGACATGTGCATCTGCGCGGAGGACGCGATGGCGGCGCTGGTGCTGCTCCCGTTCCACAAGGCGCAGCGGGCGGACGGCAGCATGGAGCCGGGCCACCACGGCTTCCGGGTGGTCAACCAGAAGGTGCTGCAGCTGGCGCCGTGCTCGGTGGGGGTGGTGGTGGACCGAGGCCTCGGTGGGACGCATGCATCCGTCGTCAGCACCAGCTCCCAGTCCCAGCAATCCCAGACACAGCAGACCCAGACGGCGGCCGTGGTGGTTGTGTTCATCGGCGGCGCGGACGACCGCGAGGCCCTGACGCTGGCGTCCCTGATGTCGAAGCACCCGGGCGTGCGTCTGACGGCGCTGCGCGTGGTGCAGAACGCGACGGCGCAGGCGCGCGCCAGGGCCCGGACGAGCCTGTTCGAGAGCAAGGGCAGCCGGCCCGGCGGCGGCGGCGGCATGATGGGCGCCCCGGCGTCGTCGGCGCTGGGGCAGGAGGAGGCGCAGATGGAGGTGGACGACAAGTTCTTCGCGGAGTTCTACCGAAAGCACGTGGCCGGGAGCAAGCAGCCGGGCGCCGCCGTGGCCGCCATCGGGTACCTGGAGAAGCACGTGGCGGACGGGGCGGAGCTGGTGGCGGTGCTCCGGGGCATGCAGGCGGATTACCGGCTCTTCATCGTGGGGCGCGGCAGGGACCGCAGCTCGGTGCTGACGGAGGGGCTGGACGAGTGGGCCGAGTGCCTGGAGCTGGGCCCCGTCGGCGATATCCTCGCGTCCTCCGACTTCTCCACCACCGCCTCCGTGCTCATCGTGCAGCAGTACGACGCCAAGAAGCACTACAAGGTCATCGACGAGGAGTTCATGCCCTTGTAGATACACATACAACGTGACGTGACATACAACGTGTGCAGCATGCATATACATACGTGTACTCGATCGTGAATGGAATTTAGGACATATACGTACAGTATTGTCGGACACAAGTGATCTCTAGAGTCTAGCCACAAAAATGGGTATGGGGCCACAATCTTTTTCCCTTACCGAGTGCCCGAGTCAAACGGAGCGACACGTATACGCACCAAAAGACCAAAACGCCGTGATCGGAAAATAAAAAATAATCACGGAATATGTCACGCCAGATGCTAATTGCTAACACGTGTACGCATAGTTGGTTATGGCATCGATGGTAGATCGAGTTTGTTACCGGTGGCGGTGGTCAGTTTTAATAATTCCTGTCGATGGGACTGAACAGATGGGAGGGAGACGGCGCTTGTTAAGCAATACACGGCGGGGGTAGAATGGTTTTTTTGCCTTCGGTCTTCGAGCGTCAACGGCCCGTTCCCAAGCTGGCTGGCTGATCTGGCATGCCACGTCAGCAAAAATGATAAAATATTAGACGAGTTACTATTTTCTAGGATATTTTTGTAGTTGCCACCACAAAGTTGACAATCAGAGAGACGGCCTCCGTAAGAGTGGCAAATAATTAGATGTCCCTCAGCCGCTGGGGCCATGTGACCAGGTTGTTGCCGCCGCGGCGCCTGCGCTCGGCGCGGCCAGGCCGGCCCACAGACGACGCTTGGTGCACCCCGGCAGGTAGTAGACGGATGGATAACAGAGATAAATGGTGGATCCTAGCTGTCAGCGACTACAAGTTAATTTGTTTTAACGGAAATGGCAATGAAAGAAACACAAAAAAGTATTTGATGGCGGTGAAGGAAATTTGGAAATTTTAATGACACCGAAGGAACTGTTATAATTTTTAGAGGCAACGAGGGAATTGCCTCAACCATATATGAGACGCTCTGAGCACAGTGTCGCACGCGGGGAAGCAAGCAAAGCGAAGTCCGGCATGCCTACCTCCATCCTGGCTCTCCAGTCCCGTCGCCCGCCCACAGGCCACAGGTGTGGGCATGTGGCTCCGTTGGTTGTTGCTATTGCTACGCGGGGAACCACCAACACCAACCCGGCAACCCCAGCGCCAGCGAGCCGGAAGGCCACGCGGCACCGACCAACTGCGAATTGGTCAGCCTCTGCCTGCCTCGGTGACGTGCCGCCGCGGAATTCTCACCTCTCCTCGCGGCTCCCCCCAGGATGCTCTGTCCTCGAGATCCTTAAACGCAAAGAAACCGGGCGCTATTTATGCTCGCGCGGTCGCGCCCCACAAAGATGCCGCCGCAGGAGAAGCCGCAGCCGCGCTCGCCTCAAGAGCGCCGCCCAAGTCGTCCCCGTCCCACCGGCGGCATGTACTACTCCGACGACATGGAGGCGTTCTACGACGCCTGGGTGGGCCGGGAGGAGCAGATCGTGGCCGACCTCACGGCGGCGCTCGCGCTCCCGCCCCGGCGCCGGAGCGACGCGCTGGCGCCGCTCGTGGACGCCGCCGTCGCGCACGTCGCCGCCTATTACGAGCACAAGTCCCGGCTGGCCGACCGCGACGTCGTGGCCGCGCTGGACCCGCGCTGGCTCAACCCGCTCGAGCGCACCTTCCTGTGGGCCTGGGGATGGAAGCCCGCGCTCATGTTCCGCTTCGTGGAGACCGGCGGCGTCGGCGCGGGGATCGGCGTGGGACCCGAGCAGCGGCGCGCGCTGGAGGAGCTCCGCGCCGCCACGGCGGCCGCGGAGCGGGAGGTGGACCTGCAGGTGGCGGCCGTGCAGGAGTCGCTGGCGGGGCCACGGGCGCTGGCCGCGCTGCGCAGGCAGCCCCCGCGGAACGGCGAGGCGGACGAGGCCGTCGCCGCCGTCGGGCGCTCGCTGCGCGTGCTGCTGGCCGCGGCCGACGCGCTAAGGGACCGCACGCTGCGCGCCGTCGTCGGGCTGCTCGCGCCGGACCAGGCCGGCGCGATCGTCGCGGCCATGCTCAGGTTCCACCTCGGCGTCCGCCGCGCGGGCCGCGACTGGACCTCCGGCCACGGCGGCCAGCGGCGCGTCTAGTGGCGAGCCAACGCCGTACCCCAATATGCATCAGAAATTCAGAACGGGACTACTTTTTACGTTACGTGCATGGGATGTCAGCGTATGTGTCCGTCCAACAAATGTTGGCAATAAGAGGAGTCACGGCATCTGGTCATGTGTTTTCCTTCACCATCACCATGTCATGTCTCCAGAGTCCAGGGTCCAGCGTCATCGTGTTCGTGTGTCGGTCATGGTCGTCGTCTAAGTCTTTTTTGAAGTCTGTTCGGTTGGCATGCCGCATGCCTCAATCCGGTCGGGTCGCACGTTCTCTCCGTTGAAGCGAACTAACGGCTATCATCAACGAAAGTCCAGTGAGTTCGTGTCCTCAAGCTGCATAAGCTGTAGGGCCTGTTTGCTTTGCTACCAAGCAGCTTAGCCGCTTTGCCTGGCGCACGAAGCATTCTTCATTTTGGATGCGGCTGGGATTGCTGAGTGGCGTGTTTGCTGCCTGGGAGATTTGGAAGCAAATAACCCTTAAATATAGAGTTTGGCCTGACAAAACAAAAATTTAATGACAAAGTCTAATTTTTTTTTACCAAACATGGACTTTCTATGGTCTAAGTCCATGTATCCCATAAGGTAGTTGTATACTTACGTCCCTCCTCTAATGTGTTCAGTTTCGTCTCAGTGCCATGGATCAGTCCGAAGCTTTCTCAGCCTAGGAAGGCATCAACTTGGCTGCATGAAGGCGTGGCCATTCCAACTCAGATAATCAGATTTGTCACTGCTTTGAACCTAACGTCTAGTCCCTTCTTTATATATAATGGATTGAGTTTGACATAAGTCAAACCACAGCAAATTTATAGGAAAAGTATTAACATCTACATCCTCAAATGGGTAAATATAAAAATAAATTTCACAAGATATCTAATAATGCTCATTTGACATTGTTTCTATAAACTTGATCAAGCTTATGAAAGTTTAACTGAACACAACTCAAATCAAAATACAATATATTTCAGGATGGAGGGAGTCAATTAAAATTTCGTGTCCTAATAGGTCAGTCCATGGTCTTCTAGGACGAGGCAGGTATCAATCTGAGCCGTGTCTGTTTGAACATGGTCTTCTATCATTGAAGGCCAAACATGAGAAGCAGAGCGCAAGGGTAGAGCAGTGGAGGGTCGCGGCGGGGGCGGTGATAGATCACTAGTAAGTCAACGCCAGTTATCAGTGTGCTTCTTCTTGGAGCCGTGAATTTAGAAGTTTTCATGCCTTCTCAGTTACTCCCTCAGTCGAGTAAAGAATGTAATTATGAGGTTCGCACCAGTGAAAGTAGCTCAAGTTTGACCAAATTTATAGTAAATAATATTAGTATTTATGTCTCCAAATAAAATTATGATGAAAATATATTCTATGACTAATTTAATGGTACTTATTTTGTATCATGAATGTTAGCGCCTTTATATATAAATTTAGTCAAAGTTCAAACTGTTTGACTTATCAAAATATGAGAATTACATTCTTTCGTGGATGGAGAAAGTATATGATAGCTGTGGATAATGATTTTTTGTCTATCTGGTGGCGGTGCGTCGGTTTCATGGTAAAAAATTCAACTAACTAGCTGATGGAGTAACTTCTGTTACTGGTTGGAACGTTTTGTTCTGCTCTTGCTCTAATTAGTACGAAGATGATTTTTTAAAGAAGTCTGGGGGAGAGCATCCCCACCTGATTGATTGATTATCAGTGGCTCTAAAATAGCCAAATAAGTTACAAAAGCGCTCGTATCATATCAGACGCTAAGTTTACATTGCGTTACTTATTACGAAACACCAGGAGGCTGCTATTGCCCTGTCCTCAGGAGTTCACAATAACGACCAAATTCCATGTTAACATCTCCATTTATTTTTCTTTTGCCTTTTATTTCTTTCTTTTCCACGTTGAGGCAGACTTTTTTTTGAAGAATTAGCAGGGGAGCCCCTACCTATATTTTTCATTTTCATTAGCAAAGAGGCAAAAACAGCACAAATACAAAAGTACAGGAGGGAAAGGAAGGGGGGGGGGCAACAGAGGAGACGGAACAGAGAGGGGAAAGGAGAAAACTAAAACAACTAACTACAACTAAAACAACAACAACTACTACATCAACTACAACTAGAAATACAAGGCAACTAGGCCCAAAAGCAAAAAAGGAGAGCATTAGGAGTAACTGTCTCGCCATAGCATAAGTTGTGCCCTCTTCTCAGGTTTAGCCTTGATACACACTAGGCTAAGCTCCTCCTTGAACATTCTCTTCCAGTTTGACAAGCTGCAATTTCCATGATCAAAGATGATGGCATTCTCCTCCATATGATCCAACAAGCTGTAATCATGAGCTCCCTGAAGATGGAGTGACCAAACAATGTTTTGGCTTCAATAATCATATCCAGGGGATCTAGATTGTCATTCCAATAGATGAGCATCAGAGCACGGAGTTCCAACAATCCTGACTAAAGGGACAACTGAAGAAAAGATGAAAAAGAGTTTCTTCACAGCGACTATTGCAAAGTACACAATTGTAATCATCCAAAATTTTGTTTTCCCTTCTCAAAATATTTCTAGTGTTTAGTCTATCTCTCAACAACAGCCAGAAGAAGAATTTATGCTTCCCTAGATTGCTTGAAGTCCATAGCCATTTGAAGAGAGGAGAAGCTTTCACTATACCTCTTAATTTTTTTATAGGCTTTGCTAGAACTGAAAAAATCACCCCAAGGGTATTTCCATATATCATTTATATCTGATTCCAAGTTACTATTTTGCAGTGTATTTTGCAGGTCACTGAGCTGAGAAACTGCTTGGCTAGAGAGGGGAAGGCTGAAAATTTTGTCTATCTCCTGATTTCTGAGGTGCAGAAGAGAGGACTTAGGCCTTTTGACAAAGGAGAAGAGCTAGGGAAACCTCACTTTCAGAGCATTGCCAGACCAATCTTCTAGCCAAAATAGAACTGTGTTTCCTTTCTTTGGTATGCAGATAGAAATGTATATGAACTTGTCAAAGAGTTTTAGAATGTCCTTCCACCAAAAGGATCTAGATGGGCTCCTTGCTTGAGGTGGAGTTTGAGAATTGCCATAAAGTTTGGTCCAAGTTAGGGTGACCCAGGGGAGATTAGCTGAATTGTAGAACTTATCCAGATATTTTATGAGTAGAGCAGTGTCGGATACCGTGAGAAGGGGTACCCTAAGCAAGATCCAAAAAACGACTGCTTAGATTTCGTAAAGATCGAAACCAGCTAAGCGCTGCTGGCCTCGGCCGATTCTCCGACTTCACTGAGAGGCCCCATCACCATGAGGCCTCGGCCGATTCTCCGACTTCTTGAGGAGGCCTCATCACCGCTGGACCTCGGCCGATTCTCCGATTCGCTTGAGGCCCCCTCACCGCGGGCCTCGGTCGATTCCCCGCCAAAGGCCTCGGCCGAGGCCACCGACCCTCCGTCTCGCGCAAAGGCGGGCTCGGCGACACTCCTGCTACCTCTTCCTTCTCCCGTCCCTCTGGCAAAACGTCGTGTCGCATCAACTCGATAGCTGCTGCCCGACAACGACCAGCATGCCCGCACGATGCAGTGAGAATGGCCGATGGGGCGGGGCGCGAGGGCTGGGCGGGGTTACCCGCCACTGCTAACTAACCACCGTGCACATGGGTTGGCGCCCATGCCTCACTATCTTGCCAACTCCTGCACCGAGACAATGCAGCGTGGGGAGCCACATCTGAGCTCTTGTGGCCTCGGAATCGATGCCAGGAGCAATAATTCCCTCAAGGCCTCGGCGGCTTGCTCCGGGGGCTCGGCGGCCCGAGGACCCATGTCCGCCAAAGCCCCTCGCGATGGCTTGGCCTCGGCACCTCTGAGCCACGGCCCCTCTCGGCGTCATCACGCGATGACCTGCCGTCCCCGGATGGCGGGGGTTACCCGTCACTATGCTATCCACCGTGCACATGGTTGACACCCATGCCTCCTTTGTCTTGCCAACTCCTGCTCCAAGGACAACGCAGCATGGGGAGCCCGCGTCTGAACTCTTGTGGCCTCGGAATCGATACCGGGGCCAATAACTCCCCAAAGGCCTCGGCAGGTTGCTTCACGGGCTCGGCGGCTGAGGTCCATGACCACCGAGCCCCCCACGATGGCTCGGCCTCGGCATCTGCAGAGCCGCTGCTCCCCTCGACGTCATTACACGGCGACCAGACCGTCGCGCCCGCCATGTCTGCATCAAGCCGTCTTTGGAGCCCCACGGCGCACAAGACCGAGTATGACCAGCATGTCACTTCCGCGCGACAAGGGCGGGGCCACTCCATCGACCATACCACAACGGTGGCCGACTACGAGGCTCGGACCGCCACCCCATTCTGAAGCGCTATGTAGCACCACATGCACGCGGTCCGGTCCTCCTTAGAGTATAAAAGGGAGGGGCGGGGCCATTCTGGGGAGGCGGAAAGATGAACACGCCGATAGAACCACGCACTCCTCACGCTGCTTGGGAACAACGCCTCAAGCAGCCCGCACCACACTCGCCGAGACACAGGGCTAGTTCCCTCTCTCACCTAGCTTGTAACCCCCTACTACGAGCACTCGGTGCAAGGAATACAAGATCGATCTCTCGAATGGGGCGTAGGGCCTCGATTGCTTGAACCAGTATAAACCTTGTGTCTCTTTGCGCCACCATCCGGGATTAGGGGCACGCACACAAATTCACTTTCGTTGGTTGAGGGACCCCGGTTCCAAAACACCGGCAGTTAGCGCGCCCGGTAGGGGCGTCTGCGTGTCGACTTCGTCATCCTAGCAAGTTCGGATGGCGGACTACATACGACCATTGCGTCTCGGCACCATAGTTTGGTTGGGGAGCCTAGAGTTCATGTCTCTAGGGCATGAGTGCGACATGGTGCTCCTCACTCCTCGAACCCCACCGTCCAACGGCGAAGTCGCGCCCGGCAGCCAGTGCGCGGCGCCCGGCGCCGGGCGCTCTCGCCACGCCTTCGCCCGAGCCACAGCGCGCAGCAAGGCCACCGGCCTT